GGTGGACAGAAAACTTGGGTTCATATTTATCAAGTATTTCCTTACTTATACATACCTTACGATGGAACTAAACCCAAAGATAAATATCTGAAACAATTTACGACAAGTGTAGACTTTGCTGCTCAAGTTGCGTTTGGTAGAACATCATCTCCTATGAAATATGTTCATAAAACTGAAATTGTTAAAAAAATGTTAGTTAGTTTCCTTGTTTTCTCCTCCTGTTGACAAAGCTTATTATTATTAAATCTTTTTTACTCTCTTCTTTACATCACAATACAAAATCTTCCATTTTCGTCGACCCAATAACGTTTCAATATTATTCACCCAAAATGATTTTATTTTTTAGACCATTTTATGGTTATCATGAGAATCAAGAAGAGTTTATTAAGATGGAGTTGTACAATCCAAGAATAATTCCCAAGTAAGATATATTTTTCATGTTGTTCTAACGTAAAACGACATCAAAATTTTTCATTTTTTTTCAGACTTGTTGATCTTCTCCAGAATGGAGCTATATTGAACAAGTCATTTCAACCACACGAAGCTCATGTTCCTTATATTCTACAGGTAATTATTGTTTTTTTATTATTAATGAGGAAAAAACACATCTTCGATTGTTATAACCCAGACTGGAGTGGTTAGTTTGTAAACTGTGCACCAGACAAGGGGCAAGGCCTGCAAAGTTTGTTATTTCTTTCTTTAGAAATTAATCTCATTCATTGTTTTTCAAAGTACTTGATTAAAGCAATATTTGTATTGTACATAGGAGTAAAAAATGGGCTGACTTTTCTACCGACATCAGAGATGCAACATTTGCATGTATAGGTGCCCACTTTGCTATAATTATACATCAGATCTCAGGTGCCCAATAAAAACATTCCATTATGGATTATAGCTGTAAATTTCATGTGCAAAACATTTTGTCAATAAAGTGAATGGTTTGAACACATTGTGGAAGTATAGCTGCATGTTTGTTGATGTTGATCATAAAGGATACTACAGTATTGAGAAGGATTGTTGGGGGTAGTCTTGATTGATGTTTTCACACCTAGATGAGATGATTACTGGTAACAATGTTAAAATGTCATTCAACACTATTGCCACTGACCTTCTTTAGTCTTTTCCTACCTGGTCGGTCAACTTCTATAGATTTTCACTAAGTTACATTATAAGAATTATATTGAAATATCTTTTATTTTAGTTTCTAATTGATTACAATCTTTATGGTATGAACTTACTTCATGTAAGAAAAGTTCATTTTAGAGGAATTTCTTTGAAAACAGGAAAGTTTCATTATTGATTTTTTCAGCATTGAATAAAAATCTAACACCACAATGATTATTTACCATCAAATTGAATTTTATAGATAAAAATCTTTCATATAATAATAAATCAATTCCACTTCATGGTTCATCTCCAAATTCATTTCTCAATTTTCCTTCATCTCAACACTGGAATGAAGACGTTATTCCTAGGTTTGTCTGATTCATATATATTACACTTGAAGATTAATTGAAACCAAAAGGATTTGTGTAAATCCTTAATCCTAAATTTGACACATGTGCGTATGATTTATCCCAAGATTTAGAGTCAATGCTCTATCCAGATTACAGAATTTACATTTAAAAAATTAGTTTAACTTTGGAATGATTCTTTGCGATAACTATCTTTACAGTTGATATTCAACATTTTAATGTTTGTTATTTGTCATTATTAAGAAATTTATGCCTGGATCCTACTGTGAAAAAAGTCAGTATAACTGCTATGTGAGAAGATGAAAGACAATGAAATTGAGATATTGGACTATCTTCACAAGTTGCTCTTCCTGATTCACAAAGTAAAGTACAAAAATATACATGTCACATCATTGTATAGCTCACAATACATTTCATCTATTTTATATTGTTATGGCATTCAGCGGCTGTGACATGTTCATCTCAGAATGATGCTGTTTTATAGTCCATAAAATTTCATGTTTTGTTAAAAATGTGTTCAACTTTTCCTTTATTAATTTTTGTTTACTTTAAAGTTAACACTACACATAAAAATTCAACTTTTTTATCGTTAGATCGTGCTGGAACATGCATTGAATCTTGAGAAAGAATTCAAGAAAACTCAAAGAAATTATTGATGAAAGAAATAAAGTGATGTAAGATTTGATATTGTGATGTTAAATGATTTAACTTTATATTTTTATAAATTTCAAATAAACTTGCAGTCAATGTGAGTTGGAGACAATGGAAAAATCTCTTTCACCCAAAGACTTTAAAGAATTTTCTCAAAGTATTTTGTCACAAGGCAAGCAACTGCAGTGTGAAGCAACAATAAGCTAAGGTTTTGTTGATTTTTGTCAACTTATTTCAAGTTATAATCATACAATAAAATATTTCTATTTTCTTCTATTTTACATGTGGATGTGGATAGTCCAGTTGTTGATCAGTCAGTTATAGATGTACTACAAGCCAACCAGGCCAGCAATTCATGTATTATTCACCAAAAATAATTCTTTCTCTCTCAAGGGTTTATATTTTTATTAATATGAGACATTTATTTAGCTGGAGAGTTGGATAAAGAATTGGTGGAGATTTTAATGAGTTTGGATAAGGTTGACAATGAAACACTGCTGCATGAATGTTCTCATATTGCGGGCTCACAAAGTAAGAATGAACATTCCATTATATGAATATTGTTGTGAGATCAAAACTACCATAATTAGACATGGATATCAATATTGATTGTCTACAGTTTCACTTCAGAAAGTTAATAAATAATTACCTTCCGTTGGGCGTTCAATCACAGCAGTTGTGTTTAAAACTGGAATTTTATTGGTTGTTACTCGTAAACTTGTGCACTTGAATCTATGTTGGCTAATTCATAACACGTGAGTGAATTCGAAAGGTAGCTTCTATTGACAATTATTCGTATACCAGAGCATTTTTGGTTGATTCATTATAATTATACCACGCGGTTGCATAAGAAAACTAGATGTACTACAAGCCAGCCAGGGCAGCAATTCATGTATTATTCACTAAAAATAATTCTTTCTCTCTCAAGGGTTTGAATTTTTATTAATATGAGACATTTATTTAGCTGGAGAGTTGGATAAAGAATTGGTGGAGATTTTAATGAGTTTGGATAAGGTTGACAATGAAACACTGCTGCATGAATGTTCTCATATTGCGGGCTCACAAAGTAAGAATGAACACTCCATTATATGAATATTGTATTGAGATCAAAACTACCATAATTAGACATGGATATCAATGGTGATTGTGTACAGTTCCATTTATGTTTAGTAAAATTTGTCTTATATGAAGTTTTTCAATCAATCTTTTTTATTTTATTGTTTATTGAGAAGGTAGTGATGATGAACATGATGAAGATATCGATGGAGATAAAGAATCAATATTAATGTCACCGCCATTTTGGAAAGATGATGAAGAGGAACATGATTCTCAAAGGTAAAAGTATCCATTTTTGTTTATAAAATAAAGACAGAAAAATGCGTGATTTGTCTATAGTTGAGTTAACATTAGCAAACTTGTCATGAGCGAACCTATCTGAGCTCAATCAATAAAAATCAATCAAAGAGAATTTCTAAATCAATCATGAATACATGTTACAGGAAAAATTAAAACATTTGTTTTAAATTTGTCTGTTTTGTATTATCGTTGTTTTATAAAAGAAGTAAAAGATGTTTTTCGTGTTTACACAGGCTTATGCAAACCTCGGAGACGTTTGTGAGAACTTTGGAGCATGTGCAAGCCTTTGACTCTGGTCATCACTGATCGAGTTCTCCCAAAGGTCTCCTTGCTTTTCATAATCCTGTGCAAACACTGTAAACATCTTAAATGAAAAATAATCAATCTTCTCTAAAGTTTTGAGTAGCTGTCTTCTTCACTTGCAGTTCGGAGGATGAAGAGGAAATGGACTGGAAACCACCTTTACGTATGTCTCAAGTGGATGGTCCTGGTGATGACGAGGACTCCGGGGGACATGTGTAGTCCATCAATTTTCACTCCGCGAGAGAATCTCGAAACACTAAACACGCGTGTCTCGATGTAATCTCGCGTGTCTGGATGTAAGATTTGGCTTTAATTATTTGCTTCAAGTAGCGTTCCATGTTCAATGGTAACAACATACATCATCTTAATGCAATTTTATTTGTTTAATTCCCACGCAGGCAGAAAGTTGTCTCTCATCCTAAATGTACAGCAGCCGTTCGACAAACATCATTTAGCAAAGATCGAAGGTAAATTTTACATGTTACGTTTCATCTCACGGGAACAATTTCTTTGTTTACCCATGTAAAATTATTGTTTTTTGAACATTTTTCAAAGTCAAGGAAAGCATGTGAAAAGAACATAGATAACATTTTCATAATGATAAAATAACATGTTTTTCTCATTAAAACTTTCACTTTGCGAAGATATTTTACTATTTGTTTTCTTGTGGCACATTTTTCATTTATCTACCAAGAGCCCATTTCCAACGCAAAATTGAAAGTGACCGTTTTCGTTCATTTGTCATTGAGAAAACGTTTTTTAGGAGATTTTAGAGTTGATTTCACAGTATTTACACCTTGTAAATTGTCAAATTTAGAGCAAAGTCCACTATGACTGGATGGTAAATAATTTGCACAGCGAATATTTAACTTTCAACAACCTTAGCGGTAGTCATTTGACTTTGAAGTAAAACACACAAATTTAAACATGTTAACGTTTCTTTAATTGACGTCATAACTAAAATTATTATTGTGATTGGCTCCTTAGGAGCATGTCACCTTTCACAAAGACACCAAGTAATCCCTCAATTCCTTTTTTAAGGCCTGTTTCAAACATTGCATTTTACATGCGCCCAATGCATTTAAAACAAAAGATAATGGTAAAGTTCCTTATTATCACGTTTCTTTTCATTTCTTGGCTTTTGGGTACATCTCCCAAAACACTGCGTTTATTAAATACAATGGCATACATTTCAAAAAATTGGCAGGCAATTCATACATGTTGGCAGCCTGCAATTATTTAGCTGCTGAATGCGGTAGATTTAATCAATATACTCCAATTAAAATTATATATTCAATATTATTTTACGTCAAACTTTTTCAAGATTTGAAAAAGGCATTTAGTTATATGATGAAGTAATTTTTTAACCCTGGAATCCAATATTTTACCATGTGATTGCAACGGATGGAATCTGATATTGCGATCTTTGAAGATTGAAGGTGCAGAATTCCAAAATATCGCATACATTTTCTTGTCTTATGATGAAAGAAAGCCTACACAGAATAAAGTCATTAAAATGCTTGATGCATCTCCACAAAATGACAACGAGCACGTGACGTGAGAACCACTTGACCAAATTTATCAAATCTCTTCTGAGTAACATTAGTGCATTTCTTCAGTTCAATTTTGGAGCCAGAGTGGTTTTACCAGGAATGAAGATGAAAATCACATTTACAGATAGAAAAATTCCATTATATCTGGAGCCAATGTGGTTCTGCTACTGTGGTTCATGTTCATATATTCATGTACTATAATCAATAATTAAAATGGAATTCAAAAGAAATTGATAAAATAGAACACACACAAAAAAGTGAATACTAGCCCTCTTTCCCAATCCTTGATCTTCTGCCTACCCTGGTTCTACGTACTGTATGATGTTTAACATTCACCTGCAGTGCTTCATGTCCAAGGCCATTATTATTAAGTTGGAAACAACATCAATTTTTCCATTCTCCTGACATGCCTGTGCCTGTGTCTCTTGATCATGTTGATGACCTTGAATCTAGTTTTTAAAATATATGTTCCATCGATTAAAGCGTTAATGAAACAAAATTTTGCCAGACTGTTTTCTAAATACATTACAACAACTATTCAAGCTCATCTAGCATCTTACAAAATATTTTTGTTAAGAAATAAAAGATGTTTACTGTGTTTGCATAGTCTTATCCAATGAAGGAGACCTTTGGGAGAACTTGGGTGCAGATCAGTGCAAGCCCGAGACTGAACGTTGAGGGTTGCACCTTCTCGAAAGTTCTCACAAACGTCTCCGAGGTTTGCATAAGCCAGTGCAAACCCGAAAAACATCTTTTATTTCTTTTATAAATTAACAAGAATGCGAAACTGACAAAACGTTCTAATATTCTTCTAACATGTATTCATGATCGATTTGCAAATTCTTTTAGTTTGATTGATTGATTGATTTGATTGGTTGAGCGCAGATTGTTTTTCAAAGGCTAATGCAATGCAGCTCTAGACCAATCAGCAGACATGTTTCATTATGTTTATTTTATAATTATCTTTGTTACACTGATATTGAAATTTTTTCATTATGCAAATTTTCTGGTAATGAAACACTTTGCATAACTAACGTTTGATTTGCAAATATTTTGAAGTGCATCAAATTTTCACAATCCTATCTGCCATGTATTGATTATTTTCTTGTACTAGTCAATAAATCTTTTAGTTGTGTTGAGAACTGATGCAGTCTAAATATGACTATGCAATGTAATGTCACAAGATGATATAGGTATTTGCATAGAAAAGGAAGGTTGAAACATCTTTTATACCTTTCACTGGCACAAGCTAGCTAACATGAAAATTAAGACATTTTAAGAGGTCAATGAAATGCAGTTTGCAATGTTTAAAAACACTTTGATCATTGTCTGTAATGTTATGTGACCTCATTGATTGTTGAAAGAGATAATGTATATTTATCAGATATAATGTATATAATGAAAGATATAATTTATGTGTATGAACACATGCACTTATAGGCTTATACACCATTGATAGACAGACTTGGACAATAGCAATAATAATAATATCTTTTTTATCTACATGAATTGAGCACACTGTCATACACGCAAGTCGACTTGAAGCACCAAGTTGAAAGCTCAACAAAATGAATAGTGTCAATACAAAGAAATGTCTAATCTAATATCGTTATCTATGTATATTTATTTTAAATCTATTTGCATCCAAATTCAATAATACAATCTGTACAACAAACAAAATTGCATGACTCGCCATTACATACAATGAGTATCAAAAAAATTAAATCAAAGTTTTATAGACAAACATGCATTTGACACAATGTGTTTTAAGGTTATATTTGAATACAGCAAGCTACCAAAGTCCTTTACATTTCCAGTTAATGAACTCCTCAAATAACAACTTCATGTTAAAATTAAGTTTTTCACCACTGGGAATTAAATAGAATACAATCATTCTCAAGCATATGATACAACACATGGAAAACCCTCTGTTTAGTTTTGGCTTGATTGAATTTGGTTTTGGTTAATTGGCAGGGAAACTTCATTTTAAATGCACTCAATTACTAAAGGGGTAAAAATGCAATTTCAACATGCAAATTTTATTTGACAAGTACTTTCGCATCATATTTGATTGTATGAATTCATAAATAGACATAATTATAACTGGACATTTAAGGAGCTCCTGTTTCTTGCTACAAGTTTACACAAAAGTAAAATTACAAAGCACAATGTCTACTGCAAATTTACCGACAAAAGTTCCATTTTTATTTTTTCAAGCACAGATATAAGTGTATCATGTAATACAATTAAAATTAATACTTCAATTACAATGTATTAATGCCAATTATGTTAGGAAAGGCAAAAGGTATGTTACACAAATGTCTGAACATATGCGAATGGAGACACATTTAATTGTATAGTGTGGATAAAGTATGGGATAAAATTTTCAAGCACTAACAAATAATATCAGAAATAATATCTACATGAAATTTTCCATACCATATCAGATGAAGTTGCTTGATCTATCTCCATTGCAGCACGCAACTGCTTTCATCGTCTATATTTTGTTCTTCTTGTAAGATCAACAGTGGAATCAACTGCATATCGTTTTTATTGCCCTCTTGAACCCATAAGAAAAGCTTAGATAACAAAATCACGAACACAAGTTTTATCAAAACGCTAAATTTTGACAAATTTTGAGGAATATTCATGACAGACTGCTCAAGACGAAAGCAGAAAGCGTTTGTTCAAGTCAGCTGTGAAATTACTACAATTAACACTTACCGCCATTACCACAGTAACATCAATGCTGAGCTGACATCGCCAAGGTGACAAAGCAAATTTCCTTGCCACTCAAGTAATCAAGTTCAAGTTGTTCTCAGCGTTTTGAAGCTCGCTGTTGTGAAAAGGTGACCAATTGTGAAAGTTAAGGATGAAGTTTGCGATTTTCGATTTTGGAGACAATACTTTTGATATTGGACAAACATCATGGATACAAGATAAAAATTCTACAACATTTGACAACGAATCCTGGCTCTTTACCCACGAAATGATTGTCAAGTGGCCCATAGACTTCAATGCAGCGAAACGAAAAATGCGAAAAAAAATTGATGTAGATACAATCAAAACGAAAGATATCCAGCAAGAATTTTAAAATTTGGAGGTTGGCGTTTGATTTTGATTTTTGAAATGCCCCCTCAAAAATATAAATTTAAAAGGTATAAATATTTCGAATAATCGTTTCTGTATAAACTAAATTTATTTAAAATGAAAGTGACAATATGGCGGACACTTACTTTTTAAAAAAAGCATTGCTGGATATATACCATTTTTTGTCATGAGAATGAGTATCTATACTTTCTCTACAAGTTTAATAATAATAGTTAATCTTTATTGAGGATGCCAACATCACTAAAAAGAAGTTTACAGAGGGGTCCTCTAAAAATAACTAAATATAATATAACTACTTAAAAATAAAAAGAAAAAGAATACAAATTGAAAAATATGAATATAGGTTAGGGTTTTTCGGATTATAAAAACTATAAAAATCGAAGTATTCTACATTTTATTATTAGATGACTTTGCCTCCATGGATTCATGCTTAGAGATGTATCTGAAAAGTGGGAAAACTTCAACTCCTAAAAGAGGAAAAGGTCAAAGAATCTCACAAAAGAATTATAAATACCATTCCGACTCCGATAAGGAGGATTATGAAGTCCAGTTTGGTTCACATTTAAGTAAAAAAGTATGTTTTTTATCGTGATTGGAGATTACAATCTCTTTGGTATCACTTTTGGATTCCAGCTTTTGTAGAAAGTGCTAAATATTGTACTAAAAAGGCGTTACTGTCTATTTAATTGTTTTTATTTAGCCCCCTTTAAAGAGAAGAAAAGTCCAGAAAGATAGTTCAAAGAAAAACTCCTTATATTCCATGGTTAAAGAAAAATATAAACAAACAGAGGTATTCATATTGTATTAATTACTTGATGCTTCATTAGTATTAATATGTCCCGAGGAGTAAAAGATCATTGACCGGTTGTTTTTTAAAGGGACATAGCTTAATGTTAAAAACTAACTTAGGGTTTGATTTGTTAACATAGGGTTAGCTAATCCTGGGTTGAAATTTTGTTTTTTAAAGTAGAGTTCAAGCATTGGCCTAACTAACTCTGAGTTAAGACATTTAACCTTGAGTTAAAAAGCGCACAACTCCAAAAAGATCAATTAACAATGTGTTCAATGAAATCAACCAATCACAGACGAGAAACCAGCTGGCAAAAAAGTTGTTTTTCCTTTTTTTATCCATTAAGTACTTTCTCGATAATGGAGGATGGCCATTTTTTGATGTGATTCTTACGTCTATTTACAGCCAACGATAGTTAGAAGTAATGAGTTCTGAAATATTTTCGTGTTTCATAAGCTTTTGTCAATTAATCACAGCTAATGTGCCTTCTTCTCATGTTCAAATATGTTATTTTAGTTAGGCGAGCATTGTATGAGTACTCGTAATGCAATTTTTTGGATAAATTCATACGATGAGTTAGAATATATATTTAAACATTGAAATAAAATAAGTTAAACAAAAGTATATGTTGTCGCTACTCGTTTCACAGCACAGGGCAATCTTCTCGGGAATCTTAAGCATTGTGATTAATATAAATGTTTTACTGATTTTTTAAAAGTTTGAAACAGTGCAAAATGAAGAAGACAACTTAAACGAGAATCGTTCTTTAAGTATATAAAGTTTTTGCAGTTCTTAGCAGTTGACGTTGTCCAGATAGAGTAAGTTTTGCTTTCTTATTTAACGCATTCGAGATTTGCCTGGTGAAAGGGTATTGGTATTATAAATGCCCTAAATTATTGTTTCTGCAATGCTTTGTTTACAGGACAGTACATCCTTTATACAGCTAAAAAAATCGAAAATCGTTTAAAAGAACTTTCCGAAGAATGTAGAAACTTAAAGATACAGACGACAAATTTAGCTACGTTGATGAATTCTGTGAAAGGTAAATGTTGGATTAGTAACAAGAACTAGCAATGTTTTCAACAATTGAAATGTATGTTCTTTCATTTTCAGAATCACCCATTATTGTCAAAAGCCTGGAAACTTTAACTAATGGACTTCAGTCAAGCAGTACTCATTCAGTCTCGCCACATGTCAACACTGATTTACCAAAACACCTGTCCCCTTTATGCCTTAAAAGCTCTTGCGATGCACCTACGATTGAGGAAAATGATAATACTGGCAACGTTGTGGAAGAGATGGTAAGAATAGTGCCTTCTTAGTTAAAATAAAGTCGTCTATATGCGCAATGCCTCAGCACAGTTCCGTAAAAAAAAGGTGTATATCTATAATGTCAAGCTAATATCATTATATGCAGTATTGGAAATTTAAGAATATGAATATAGCTACAGGGTGTATAAAAAACGGAACAGTTATGAAAACGCTGCTAAAGTTGTGAGTGACCAAAATTTGCAAAAACACTTGGTTAAGATAGTAAATAAGACTTTATATCTGAAGGTAAAGTTTTGGTGAATAATAGACTTTTTAGAATAAAAATTGTGTTACCTAGAAGCACTGTTGAAGTAGCTTGTACACGTATACAACAAAGCGGAGAAGCAATTGCAACACATGGGGTTAAAGTATGAGAGTATTGGTACAAGCTAACAAAATTTTGGGAATTTTAGGGTATGCATCGAGAAAGCTTACCTACTCAAATTGCAAGTTATTTTGAATTTTCCCTTTTTAAATTTCATTTTTTATAATTCTTCAATTTTGAATAAATGCGATCTTAAATCAAAAAAAAAAACGTGAATATTTACTTAAGTGTTAAAAAATGGCATTTAAAAGGAAAAAACACAAAATATTCAGCAAATTGGAAGCCTTGCGTTAGCGTACGCTTTTGCCAAATTTTTCTAAACTTTACTTAAATTCGAAGTTAGCTAAAACAACATCTGATTTACGACATCTGATTATTTAAAACAACATCTAAAACAACATCTAAAACAACAGCTAAAACATCTAAAACAACATCTAAAACAACAGCTAAAACAACATCTGATTTACGACATCTGATTATTTAATCTGATGATTTAAAACAACATCTGATTTACGAGTTATTTTAACACTTTTGGCCGAGTTAAAATTACTCCAAGTGGAGTAAAATCAGAATCCAATCATATATTAGAGTTAATTTAACTCCAATCTTGGGGTTGAAACAACTCTAAATTTTTCACTCCATTAAAAGGAGTTATTTTAATCACCTCTTTGGAGTCAAAATAACTCCTTTAAAATGACAGTGCGGGAACACAACTCTTATTCTAGAAATGGTTATTATTTGCGAGAGTTCTACTATCAGATCAACCATTGAAAGTGCAAATATCTATTGTACCAAGGCTTTTTTTGATCTTGCGGATGATTACTTAAGCGACAATTTCCTAACTGTTCAGTTTTTTTGGTAGCTACACCCGTATAGCAATCAACATATCGGTATTTTTGTGCGTAGTCAGAGACGCCAACTAACAGCACAATTAAGTTGCCTTTTGTTTAAGATAGGCATTCAAAAACAATCCAGAAGATGCTTCTTAACTTCTACTGGATCTCACAAATTTATTTTGGACCAACAGGTGGAGAAGCCAACTAGGCGAACAACTTGGTTGCTGTCTTTCAATTTCTTTTTGCTAGCGGCATTGCAGTTTAAAATTCGACCTGATATGTTTCAGGAAACCATGTTATCATTTTGAAAACTGATGAATTATAGAGTCGTAGTACGTTGTAGACAATATCTTGTTCTTCCTAAATTTTCTCTTTTAACGGAACCTAGAACCTAACTCGTGCATGTGAATAAAAAATCATAGCTATAGCAAATGGTAAAGGCATTAAATTTAAATGGAAAAAGAAATGACACTCCTTATAAAATAAACAATATTTAATCCAAACGTTATTCATTTCTATTTAATTTTTTTAAATTTGTAATCTTCGAAATTTCCGCATTTTCTACTGATGATGATAGCATGTAACATGTAACACTTGTCAAAACGTTTAGAATAAATATTCTTTACTTTATACGGAGTGTCAATTGTTTCGTGTTTTAGTAAAACACTTTATAGCAATCGTAATTGAAGTGTAATATAACTTTTTTCAACACTATGCATTTCAAATTTAAGCCTTCTAAATTTTTTATTAGGTAGCACTGGCTCCTGGTATTACGATTTTGCATTCGCAGAGGGATCTTTTGACTTTACAAGGAAATCCAAAGAACTACACGTATGCGTTAATGGACATGATTTGGTCCAGAGATGAGTTGGCAACACATTCTTTAACAGGAAAAACGTCCAATGCTCACAAAGATAAAACACCAAAGCCTTCATTGGATGCTTCAAAAGTTGCTGCACTGTGTGGTAAGTAAAGCTTTTAACCTTTATTCTATCATTTTAAGATGTATAATACAGTTTGTTAATACGGTCAGCCTTGAGGATTTTTTGTGGGATGGCTTTAGCAAATTGGAAATTAATACAGGTCCTCCAGAAAACTACAACATTTAATAGAATATTTGATGTAGTTACAAGTAAATTTGAGATGAATTGCATCATGTTTCAAGACATATACCAATCCTTGTAAGAATTCTTATATGAATTCCTATAGGTTCCTACAGCATGCTATAAGTTGTTCCTATAGGCTCATCGGCCAATTTCCAAAAGGATTCTATAGGAAGTTTTAATAGGAAGTTGGAGATCTGGTACGAATTCTTATAGCGATAATTTGTATAGGAAAACTTGTAGGAATTCCAATAGGATTCCTTTGTAAGAATTCTTATAAGAATTTTTATTGGAATTCTTATGTGAATTCCTATAGGTTCTTACAGCATCCTGTAGATTATTGCTATAGGCTCATGGGCTAATTTCCAATAAGATCCTGTAGAAAGTTTTAATAGGAATTCCTATTGATACTTTTCGTAAGGGTATCCAAGTTATATTAATAACCACAAACTTCAATAATCGTGATTTATGCAGTTGACTCGCTCTATAGCTACGCTAAAATGTCTTAGTTCTTTAATTCATTGTCCTAAGATTTGTCGCTTAAATTGGCATAGAAATTTCTTACCAAAATGTCGGCGCCACAAAATTGACCCTGGTGGGAGGGATAAGGGGGCGATTACATTAACAAACAGCAGCCCATAGTGAAATTCAACATGGTTTGTAGTACGAAAGAATGTTTTATGCAGTGCGGTGTTTGAAATTACCCGTTGAGTCACCTGAATTTTTCAGGTTCATGAGACAATTGCTTAAATTGTCCAACAAAGTGCGAAGATCATATCTACATTTAATGGTTTGCAGTGATGAAAATTCGCCAGGAGCGTTGTATTATTTCTTTGTGAACAGACTTTTGCGATTACATGTAAGGAAAAATCGACCTAATCATTGCATAATTTTTTATTACATCTTTGGTTTTCGTTACTTATACATTATGTACGATCATTTGTTTACTCGACTGTTTGGTGTTAAGTAGTTATTTAAACATTGAATTATTAAGGAAATTGTTACGATCATAAATGGTGTCAAAAATCAATTTAATTTTTTAAGGTTTTACACAGCGAAAGTAGACCAGAGACTTCTCAATTAAGTTAGCGAACATCAAAGAAACGTCTACACCAACACGTTTTGGCAAAACTTGGAGAAGGAAAATGTAATGCATTGGAGCTTATTTCTTTTACGGGGATTAGCTCTTTGATATTATTTGCCTGATCTATTTTTTTAGATTGTCGAAGGAGGATCATGACGGAAGGAACCGCTATCACAATTACCAAAAAAAATGCAATAATTATAGAAAAAACACGCACGGAGAAATTACTGGAACTTCCAGTGGAAAACCAAGCTATACCAGTAAGATTAATAATTTTAGTGATCTATTTACTAACATTCTACGATCACTGGAGAGTCTGGGCAATGTAGATGGCATAAATGGGTTTACGCAGTGCATGATTTTTACATGGCTTTGAAAGTGCCATGGCTAGGCAGGAGAATCAGTGGATCTTTGTTAAACCAGCAGTGAGCTTTTGCGTAAGAGCAACGCGGTGAATCGAACATGACCATTTGCAGCTCATAAAAGAGAGAATAAACTAAGAGACAGTTTAGCAAATGTGTTGTATTCTTAGTAAAAATGTTTATACTGCGATTGTACTCACCACAAAGCTAACGAGTGAATGGTAATAATCTTTGTAAAATGGTCAAGACAATGTCTTACTAAGAAAACGACTTTGTTTTAAGTGCACCCTGGAAAGCCGTCGAGCAGTTTAATAGAGCCTAACCTCTAGGCAGCAGTATGTGAATAGTCATAATTCTTGAATATGAGACAAACAATGTGCAGTGGGAGTAAAAAAGGATACGAAGATAAGGCATGGCAAAGTGTACAAATGTGTAAATAACAAACTGACTTTATTAAATTTGGAACATATTTTACCTTCGCCTTAATAGACTATAAAAATTACAGTTATGTCTTGTGCATTTTATGTTTCATTTTTGTTAGATACATTACAAATAAAATTTTCACGTTAAAATAACCTAAACAATGAACATTTTCACGCACTTTGGCCAAGCGATCAAATGATATTATTTTACACGAAATCTAAAACTAACGTCAAATATAAGCACCTTAGCTGTGACATTTTTATGTCTCAACATAACGTCAACAGTTTGACAGTAGAAGTGCCTCTTTTATTTAAGGCAAATTTTCTTTGTGCACTAAAATTTGCGCAATTATATAACAAAGATTTACTTGATTTAATCTTTTATTTCATTCCAAATTACATAAGAATAAGTGGACTATGTTAATTATAAATATACACACTAATATTGTACTGTCTTGCAAGAAAATAGGGAGTTTTAGCAAGAGTACGACTACGACTACGAGTACGAAATTTGACCGTGTAAGGGAATGGCACGAGGAAGTTTGTTGTCGTTGTCGCTTCGTCAAAATTTTGCTTTAGTTGTAAACAACAGAACGAGCCTTTTTATTGTCTAAAACACCGACGTTTGCGAAGCAGCTACGGCTCTATTTGACAATAATGATATCAAAGAATCGATAATACTGGTTTTGCGAGAATATAGGACTCTTTAGACTGAAAAATCTTCACTATTTTAAGTTTTATGTACGATATATTTGCACTATTTTATTGTTTGTGTACCTTTCACTTTGCGTACGAAATACATGAAAGTTTTGCAGGTCATATTTTCCTTTTTAACATACATCTGCGCTCAAAAAGAGTTCTAAATTAAAGCCTGGATGCTCGAAAATAGTACTGTAAACTAATTTCTTACAGAATGAAGAAATATACCTACTTTCTTTGCTTAAAAAGACATCGTAGTCGCGACTACGAATTTTTTACAAAACATCGTACTCAGATTGATGACGGCTACGTGTTTTTGTTGTCGCAACAATGTTTTCGCGCCAAAAGGACGTAAATCGTACTCGTAGTCGTACTCGTAGGCTCTGCTAAAACTCCTTAATACTGTAAAATACAGGCGAACAAGGTTTGAAAATAATTTGCAAACTGAAGATCAGATCGGAAATCAAAGTTTGTCTCAACAACCCACAAATGAAGCAATAGTGTTACAGAAAAGTCAAGGATAGATATATACCGCTCTGAATATAAGAACTTATATAACCAAAATAACCGACAATAACGAAACCCAAATTGGCCTACAAAACAAACGTTTGCATGGCGATTTTACTTACCATGAAGCTAATGACTGAATATAAAGATTCAAGACATATTCTCACTAAAATCAAGCTGAACGCAAAGCAACCAAACAAAACATACAAGAATACATATTACCGACGAAACAAGGCTTATAAAACCTTTTGAATTACCCAATTGTAAATAGATAAAAATGATACATAAATCCCAGCACAAAGATAACTCAAAGTCTACGAAGCAAGACAACAAAATAAGAATAATGAAGCGAAATAGCAATACAACATGAGAAGACGTTCCAGAGATACTAACAATCAAACTGAAACATATATAAGACATATGTTATCCCAACAAGAAAACTAAATGCCAAAGGAACAAACGACATAAAGAGAATAGTGCTCTGCGAGGAGAAATAGAAGAACTGAGCAGGAACTAAAGTACACAAGGAGAATTATCGTGAAATGAAACGAATTTTGATTAATCGATGCTTTATATACAATAATGATTTTAATTATTCAAGAATAAGTCAAAGTAAATAATCACATGGAGCATAACGAAAGATTAAAATACAATGGAACATGAACAATTGCTTTTGTATATTGGAGCTTTATTTACAACTTGAAGACAGAAAGGAATCGTTGACTACCTTTATGCATAAAATCTCAATTTAGGCTTAACTCCCAAAGGATAACGTGGTCGTCTTAATTATCATGGTCCGGTTGTATAAAACTCTTAACTAATTTTTAACTACTGTTTTTGCTGTTAAAATGTAGTTAAATTTAACCACGTGGTTAAGTCGGTTGTATAGAAAAGTAATTAGCGTTAACTGCATTTAAAAGGTAGGTAAAGTTAACTATCATATGGAGGAACAAACGACAAAAAAACAAATAAACAAATTTAGAAAAATTCGACTAAATTTTCTAAATTTAGAAAAATTTAGAAAATTCGACTGCATTTAAAAGGTAGGTAAAGTTAACTATCATCTTTTTAAAACAAAGTTAATTTTGGCGGCATAGCTTTGAACATGATGGGAACGTGCATGAACATGCCCTGTGTTCTTCACATCTAACTCATGGGCTTTTGTACAACTCCACCGCATAAAAGCCAGTTATTGTCTTCATCTCTTCATTGCAAATAAAAATAAAAGGAGTCAAAGGATGAGGATGCTATTCATTTAGATAACTTAGCTTTGTCGTTCACAAGCTTCACGTTGACACGTTTTATCCAAATTCTCCATTGTTTTACCAAACACCGAGTTCTTCATCAGTTTATATAATCTTATCGAAATCGTTTGCAGCATGTTTTCGTTCGTCGGTGTTAAAGTATATATAGGATTTTAGCAAGGGAGTTTGTTGAAAAACTCCAGAGCCCCATAGCTCTGGTGTAATCAAGGGTTGTCAAAAATTAATTGAGTTTCAATTAATTGCAATTATTGCAATTAATTGATTGGACAAAGCATCAATTAAAATTAATTGATTGGGCAAAACTCCCAATTTCTAGTAATTGATTGGGCATTGACTGCTTTTTTCTTTTTTTTTTACATTGAAACTACTTTTGTCTTGTCACAGCAGCTCCATCAAAGGTCAATCTACAAAAACTGCTGCCCATGAATTTAGAGATGCAACTCTTTCTAAAACTTAACAAAAGCTGGTGGCCCGATGCACAGTCTGTTGCGGAGGCTTCTGTTAGCATGTGATGAACACTTGGTTGCAACCCTTTTTGCCTTTTTGACAATCACATAATTTATGTGATTGTATTTGTATTCTTGTTAGATTTCTAAATTTGTTTTTTTGTGGGCCTACACTGTGGGCCGAAAAACTCGAATTATGCCATGTTGACATTACATTTTTTATTTTCTTCTTCGCTTTTTCATTCATAATGGGAATTTGAAAACTTATGGAACCTAAATGTGTGGCCTATGACATAGAGAAAAAAGTTAAATATATTTACTGTTGCTATAACTTTTGCTATTGCCTGTACAATAGACCTACCTATTTCTATACGATATTAGCGTTAGTGTGCGTTCTAGTACTAAAAAGATATGTAGACAAAGTATACAAGGGTTGTCAAAAATTAATCGAGTTTCAATTAATTGCAATTAGTTCTAACCAATTAATTGATTGGACAAAGCATCAATTAAAATTAATTAATTGGGCAAAACTCCCAATTTCAATTAATTGATTGGGCAGACCAATTTAATTGCAATCAATTATTGACAACCCCTGGGTGTAATATGTAAATATGATGAAAATTAATAATTAATAGCAAGTTAAATATAGAGCATGGGCACATGTTGATCTACATTATTTGAAACAGCCTTTGGAGGATAACCGATAATTTCGTTCAGTTTCACTACTACAATTTTGACAGTAAGTTTGTAGATTAATGGCATACATGCGTAGCACATTTGTTGTTCCAATCAATGTAGAAATCTGACATAAAACTCAAATCTTTTATAGTAAAATGGCCGAAAAAGTCCCAATTAAAAGACGGTAAGCATTCAGTTATTATTGAAACCACGTCCATAGATACAGAAGGACTAAATGTGCGATTGCTGATAAGCCGTCATATTGCGTAGAAAGTGTCATTGCGGAACCTGGCAAAATTATTGTTACTCATTTACTGTTAGTGATAAAATACAGATAATAGGTTTTTCGCCTTTTGCTTCGTTTCATTCCCTTATAACTCTTCAGGTCGACAACATATGTAGTCAAATCGTCATTATAAATATTTTAAATAATTCAATTAATATTAATGCTACATTTAATGCAATTCTGATGAAAATATCATTTGCTAAACTTTCTGTTAAGTGGAAACTTGGTAATTTTGGTGCGTATGCCACCCAAATTCATGATTTTATTGGCTTTTATGAATCATGAAACATATTACTGTAATGGATAAAGCATTTATAAATAGGTGCAGATATATTACAGAAGTATTTTTGACACAAAAACTTAGTACTTCCTACAATGCCCATACTTTTTATAAAACCTCAAATGTGCAATTGACACTGTAGTTAAGGATTCAATCACTAATTTCTGGTAAAAGATACATTATACTTTTCAATATATGGCATGCAATTATAATGTTGTGTCTAATTGCGAAGTTTAAGTACATTATAAGCAAAAAGAAGTTGACATTGCTACATGCTTTGATGTAGAAAAGGGTAGTTAATTCTTCATGGCTTACTAACAACTAACCAAGCAATGGACAATGCTGAGGGTGCGGCTAATGATATTTCTTTATTTTTTTAATGATACTACTATCAGTGGCATATCTAGCAAAAATTTTTGGTCAGGTATTGCATACAAAGCCCCATGCCATACAAAATCATGATTTTCAATCATACGTAAAGTAAGACATAAGTACTTTATTGAAGTTTAATTTACAAATTTTAAATTAGAAACAAAAATTATAAAGGTTTCTAAGAAGTCAAAATAAAATTACTGTCTTAGTTTTAGATATCAACTTTATAATAAAACTGTAACATAGTAATACAACAACAAATATTCTGACATGCATGTACTGGTAAAGATTAAAAGAGAATTCAATTTTTGAAGAGTCGCAATATTTCATCATCCCATCCTTGATGGAATTTAAAATTAAAACATTTATAAATCTTGAAACATTTGCAAACCTTTCAAAATAACATGCTTGATCTACATATTTACAACCATGCATCATCAAAATGTGGGAATTTAGTCCACTACAGTAATAATTATTATCCTTTGGATTTTCTTGTAAACGGACAAAAAGTACAAATAA